GGTTGGCAGAGGAATTGGAGTCCTTTTTAGAGTCTTTTTTTTTTTAGTCAACAAAAGTGGCTCTAGGTTTATATATATATATATATATCATGCACAGAAACGTGGGAGAGAATTAGGGAGTAGCCAATTGATATATCTCATAAAAAATTGAGGCATACACGCACGAAAATCGAAGCAAGAAAGAATCCATTTTTCTTTGGCCAAATTTGGTGGCTACTTAATTATTTTTGGAGAGAGATATACATACCAACGTAGAGAAGAAGGGAGTTTTTGGAGAGAGAAGTCCTTTGACAGAGAGAGAAGAAAATTGAGGCAACCAACACTTTCTGCAAAAAGAGGTGATTGACATAGACGGGTCCTTTGGAGAGAGAAATATGAGGCAGTTTTGAAAGAATTAATTGGAGAAAAACACACAGCAGATTCAATTTTACAAATTATTCACGTTCCGTCAATTAATTTGGTGATGTCTTCCATAAATTCTTGTTTTTTCCTCATTAATATACGTAGCTAAATTAAATTTTAGGGCGAACAATGTAACTGATTTGATACTTTTATTTCTTTTATTTGAAATTATTGTTATTTTATATTTTATGTGTGGATTTTAATTATGTTTTTAATACTTTGAATTTTCTGGCCAATTATTCAATGATTTCGTGAACAATAATTATGTAGAGATGCAGATTCTTGTTTAGACTACATACTAAAATTCGGTAAATTAATATAATGTGTAGAGATACATATATTAATTGATGCGGTCCTATAGAAATTCTTAGAACTATTATTTTGTTTAATTAAATTTAATTTGTATAGAGGTATGGAATTGAACTAATTAAATAGACTCAATGAGAACTCGAGAGGGATAAGTTGAATACAATAGAAAAATTCGATCGAACACTACTTTCATTTTATGAATCTCGACATTAGAAATGAAGGTGATCAATAGGTGAATTTGTTCCGTCCTAATCTCCATTTATTAATTAAATTCTCACTCATTTTCTGTTGCATTCATGAAACTTTTAGTTGTAATATTTAAAAATCACATTTAATTGTTTTTTTGTTTATTTTTATCAAATAGAAGTTAGGAATAATAAATTGAGTACTAAAGTATAGTTATCGTGGGAACGATAATCCAGATTCAAAATGTCCACTTTACTACTTGTTACGATCCATCCACTTGTAAGATAAAATCGACAACATATACCTATAGGACTAAGAATTATATTCTCATCATAAAAGAATTTCAATTCTATTAGAATTTCAATCTTGCTATATGTATATCCTAATTCACTTTTGACTAATCAAATTTACAATTGGCGAAATTTGACACCACATTTCATATTTCAGACATAGGACTAGGGAGTATATTCTCGTTATAATAGAATTTCAATTCTAATAGAATTTCAATTCTATTAGAATTTCAATGTTGATATATGTATATCCTAATTTACTTTTGACTATTACAATTTATACTTGGCAGAATCTGAAACCACCTTTCATTTTTCACAAATAGGATTGGGGATTGTGTTCTCGTTATAATATAATTTCAATTTTATTAGAATTTCAATCTTGTTATATGTATATCCCGATTTACTTTTGACTTATCAAATTTACACTTGATACACTTTTCATATTTCACACATAGGACTAAGAATAATATTGAAAATTATATTGAAGCAGATTTTTTAAGTTTCAATTTCAAAAATTAAGCTTAAGACTTGTTAATACGAATATTAGATCATAATTCAATTTTTTAAAATTAAAGAATAATATTATAAAATTAAATTAATATACCCATTCCCTACCTCCAACACCTAATTTCACTCAAACCCTATCATCTCCATTCTCTCTTTACCTTCCCTATTCTCTTTCCCTTCACAGGTGATGATGGAAGCCACTTCTATCATCTCAATCATCGTCGCTGCACGTTGAGTGAAGATGTCGCTTGACACCATTGCAGTAACGAGGTAGCAGTTATCGTCATTGTATCAAGTGATTTTGGGTTCTGTTTTGGATCTGAGCGCATCGGTGATCATGAAGTGGCGACGACGCTGTCGTCTCTGCTCCCAGTGATCACCGTGATGTGTAATGATTTTAGCAATGGGCGTAACGACCCAAGTCTCTGTACCCAAGCCGTTAGTTTACATATTGTTTGCTTTGGGTAGGCCTTTCACCCACTTATCCCTCACAACTTTCTGTCACTTTCCCTAGGATTCGAACTCATAACATTTCCCTTAAGTAAGATTTAAGTTGAATCCTGATACCAATTGGACAACTACAGAAAGTCGTGAGGGGTAAGTGGGCGCAAGACCCACCCAAAGTAGACAGTACGTAAGCTAACGACTTAGGTACTGAGATTCAACTTAAGTCTTATTTAAGAGAAATGTTATAAGTTCGAATCCCGAGAGACGCAACAAAAAGTCATGAGCGGTAAGTGGGCGCAAGGCCCACCCAAAGCGCGCATTTTTTTGTAACGACCTGAGTCTCTGTACCCAAGTCATTAGCTTACGTACTGTCCGCTTTAGGTGGGTCTTGCGCCCACTTACCCCTCACAGCTTTCTGTCGCGGTCCTCAGGATTCAAACTCATAGCCACTTCCTTAAGTAAGATTTAAGTTGAATCCTGGTACCAATTGGGGTCATTACAAAGGGTTTGGGATCCAAGTGTAGCGTTAATCGCCATGATGTGCAGGGATTTTAGCTGTGGGTTTGGGATCCGAGTACAACGATCATCCCCATAATGTGCAGTGACTTTTTGGTAACTTTTAGATCGAAGCATAGTGGCCATCATATTTTAGATCTGATTTGCTATGGTTGTACAGTAATTTTGGATTTGATTTTGTAGTGTTTGTGGATTGATTTTGATATGGGTTTTGTTGGTTGTGGTGACAGTAGAGAATGTGGTGCTGGTTGTGGTAGTGATTATCATATTTTGGATTTGGTGACAGTGGTATTGGTAGTAAGTGGTGGTACTGGTTGTAGTGGCAAGGGCGAGGGCGAGGGCGAGGGCGACGACGGCAGTGGCGGCATCAATGGTGTTGGCTATGATGGCGATCATCATATTTTTGATCTGGAGATGGTGGTGTTGGAAGATGTGGTGATCACAAATAATTTGGTTAATTGTGATCACCAATAGATAATGTGTGACCTAAAAATTTGTTAAGTTGTGACCAATATTCTATAATTTGTGAGCTAAAAATAATCTGTTATCAATTAATTTAATATTTTGTGACCATAAAAAAAGTTGTGACTTATAAAAATTGTGATTTGCAACCAATGAATAATATGTGATCTATTGATTTGATAAATTTGTTATCAAAAAATAAGTTGTGACCTATAAAATTTTGAATTTGTTTCTGTTTTGTCTGTAATTGTAATTAATATATAATTTTGACCATAAATTATATAATATTGTGACCTTAATATATTTAATTAACTATTTGATAAATAAAATTTGATTTTTGAAATAATAAACCTTGCTTCTTAGTTTTAAAAACGATCATGCCTAATCTCGTAGATATGAAATTCTTATATTCTCATTATAATAAAATATTAAGAATAATTCTCCCTGTCCCGGGTTGGGGACAGGGAGGAAGACAGGGACGCCACATGAAGCCCCTATACTCGACCCTGTCCCCAACTCGGGACGGGGAGCAGGGTTCGAATATTAATTCTATTAGAATTTCAATCTTGCCATATTTATATCATTTACTTTTAACTTATCAAATTTACACTTGGCACAATCTTACACCACATTTCATATTTCACACATTTATGCCAACTATTATAACACTTTTCTCGTCATCAATGGGTCAAGAGAAGTGTACAAATAGCTTAATTAATAGAATTGTATTTCTAACCACACGAGCTTTAATGTTAGCATACCTATAAAATAGATTTATACCTCTTTTTTCTTTTTTTTTCTTTTCCTTGGTGACTTGTTTTTAATGTGTGTGCATGTTGCAGCACAGGTTTCGCGATAACACTTAATGCATTCACACTATAGTTACCCACGTAGCAAGCACATAAATATGTAAAATAATGTTTGGTCACAAATTATTAAAAGAATGCCCATCGTTTTGATACAATGATAGGTGTTCCTACGTGCAAAAACTGCTTTCCAAGTTTCCCAAAAGCACATAATAACTTCAAATGCTTAACTTCAAGTGAGCCATCTCGAGAAGCGTACAAGGATGTAGAAATTAATGTTTGGCCACTGTACTAGAATAACACTTGACAAGCTCATACAACATTACAATTCAATAAAATAATCCTCTTGTTTGAACCAGACATGAATGATGAGCATTTCAAATAGAGAAAAGGATTATAAGAAAATTTGATTCAGTGCAATTTAAAGAAGACAAATGGGAACCAGAAACTTGTATCTAGATCGGACTTTCTAGATAGTATTCTTTAAAATTACGAGTGGTGAAATAATTATATATCCCAGCTTGTCAACCTGTTAAAGAAATAAAGAAAATTTCAGTCAAAGTCAAATAGTAAACCAAACTTCTACCCTTTGAAGAAAGAAGATGACCCCCCACTTCTACCCAGTAAAGCAAGCCAATAAAAAGATTTTAACAGCTATAACATTAGTGTGCGAAAGTATTCGTGCTTACCTCGACACTGAAGCAACATTGCCTGAATGGTTTCCACAAGAAAGGCCCTGAGTCGACTACCATTCTACCAATGACTTTTCGCTTACTATGAGGAGAAACATTGACATTGGTTATTGTTGGTTTTCATTTATAAGCCAAAAATTTCATCCATGGACTGGAAAAATTCTCTGTGGAGTCTAGACAATTGATTCGTTTTGTTTAATATAGAAAGCGATATGAACTAGAGAAGATAATACAAACTCTGTATATGTATACATGCTCTAATTGTTAATTTGAAAATCAAATCTCTTTCTCAACTTGAAATGGACACAGCAAATGGATAGATTAATTTTATTCAATTGTAAATATATATGGAGTGCAAAAAATAAATTACATATTAATCATTTTTATTTCCACTCATATAACTTGGAAGTACTTCTTTTAAAACCATGAAAATAGAAGCCATCACTCCTAGCCAGCCAAAAGCAAACACCACCGAAACACAAGTCATTTCCAAATTTTGAAGTAAAAACATCAAAACTTTGCTTCTTTGAACCCCAACCAAAAGTGCAGAAAAACAATGTATGTCCAAGCCAATGATCACAAAAATGCCACTGAAATTCTTGGTTATTAGCAAGAGTATGATGCCCAAGATCATTATCTTTAGATGCACAATGCAACGTCAGTTTAGATCCCGGTGGCAATTGATTAATGACATGCACATCATATTTAGCAGTCCAACAAAAGGAAGTTACTGTGTCAGGAAGGCTGCAGGCATATAGAATAAGAAATAAAAAGAGACTTTTCATCTTGTTACAATTTTTAGCCTACTGTAAAATGATTTTAGAAGGTTATTTATAATGCATTATTCTGTGATTTTGGTAATATTTTAATCACATCGAGTCCACCTACATTACAGAGAGTAATGCATCATGGGATGGAACCAGAATACTCATAAAGGGGTCCACAGAATAATGCATTACAGGATGAAACCAGAATTGTAGAATAATGCATTACAAGATGGAATCAAAATAATGATATGGGGGTCTACAGAATAATGGATTACAGGATGGAATTAGAATACTCGTATGGAGGCCCACAAAATAATGCATTACAGGATGGAACCAGAATATTCATATGGGGGTGGATCCCATGTGATTAAAATATTACCCAAAAAAATCCACCCACCCCCATTATGTGTGTTTTGAAAAAATCCCTGTGAATAAACTTTTGTACGCCAAGTCTTTCTCATTTATAATAGCAATCCTTTAAGCACATCCTTCGTGGACAAACTTCAATGCAGAATTAGAAGAATATTATTGCAGTTGGAAACGAATCCGCAAAATTAGAAATTATGAGACACCTACGGAATTGCTGATTACTTGGTGTCAAAATCCGGTCTTTCCCGCCGTCAATTCTTCAGTTACTTATTTCATGGTGCAAAAATTATGCTGATTTCCTCCTTTCATTCAATTTTTCAGTTCATGTTGATCCTTAATTCTTATTCTATGCCATTTTAATTCATGTTTACCTTAGTTACGTTAATGGGTCATACCATTCCTTATCTGTGAGCGTGGTGCATTTTTATATAAAATAGCTTCGACTCTTCTCAAAATATTTCTCCTATATTCATTTGATTCTCGGTAATTATGTTGTAAATCAACCAATTTTATAGTCGATCTCTCTTCTTCATTGCTTTGTTTCCATCGACTAATAAACAAATACAAATTACAATAAAATAAATAAATTAACTCGGTTTTTGTTATTTACTTTGTTTACACATCATGTGACAAAAAAATCTTAAAAAATCTTAGTGCAGTACAATTTTGAAGAATAATGGAAATAATAAGCAAAACATGGCATAGAATATATTGAGGGTTATGCTTGGGGTACATTGTGACATCCATCATGGTGTTCAAAATGGACACACGTCACCTCGGCCTGCCACGTCGGGGCCCACCAGCACCTTGGCCAATACCAAGGTGCCGGGTGTCCATTTTGGACACCATGTTGGACACCTCGGTGTACCTTGAACATTTTCCATATATTAATACATTAATATACTCGACATATTCCATATAACATTGTATTTTTAGGTAATCATGACAATTACGTTTGGAGGACAAGAAAACTAGTCAATCTGTATTATCAGTTAAATGTTCTCATAGGCACATAAAGAACTTAAGCTAAATTATGAAATAAAATGGGGATTTAGAATGATAGAATGTCAACAACTCGAATAAAAAAAATGCAAAGGGATGAAAACCTATCAAATTTATCTTTCAAATCGGAAGGTTTTCAAGTGCGAAATAATTATGAAATTCCTTGCATATTTGGCACAATGTGAATTGCAGTCAACTTTATTTTGCAATTTTCGAATGATTATTGTGATTTATTATATGTTGCTTATACTTTCAATCTGAATTCAAAAATGAAAAAAAATTAAATTAAATTAAATGAGTGTTCAAGATTTTTATGATATCTTCAACCTTGAAGTATAGATAATCATCTGTGCTCTAACAATTAAATTATAGTTGAAATCGCTATAACAAAATTGCAAGAAAAATCTCAACTTAGAATATTATGATGAGATTCGATCTAGGTTCATTTTATGAATGCCTAATTAATGTGCATCTCATTTTCATTCCTTGAAACTCAATGAACCATTTGGTGTTCGTTAAGGAGCTCAGTGTCTTTGTATCGTCATAAGTTTACACTTCATTAAGCAAAAGAAAAACTGCAACAAAAGCTCTAAATTTTTGAAACATTAACAGATTCTTTCCAAACTTTAAATTTGCTGTAGCTGTCACCCCTAACTTTTTCAGACGTCGCATGTGAGACCTTTTTAGACGGTTTTCCATATAAAATATAGTCAGTTGACCACCAAAATAAAAATCTGACCATTTTTTACTAAAATAAGGAGGGTAAAATGGTAATTTGATATATTATCATATAAAAGTATTAAAATAATTAAACAAAAAAAAAAAGAAAAAAGAAAAATCTAAAACCTCCTTCCCCACCTCCACAACAAACTATCCCTCACTGTAAATCATCGGCGGTCGAAAATCGCCGACTATACTACCACCTCTTCGAACCGTCAATCTTTAGCCTACCAGAACCCACTCTTCCTTCACCTACGCTAGCTCCACTATCCATACATATTTTTCACCACCCACTCAATTACTGCCTTCTTCTTTGTCGCCTTCTCAATCACTAACTTTGCCAATTTGGTATTCTACTCCACCTCCAAGTCCAGGGCCAATAGATCCATGCATACCACCCACTCTACTTGCATCTTCGATGTGGCTATGGGTGTTGAAGCCAGTGTTTTGTGGGTATTGAATTTTCTAAGATTGAGAATTGCAACATTGTTAATTCTTTATCTTCTTACTCATTTTCTTCTACTCCATTTTCTGCCCTGGATTACTTGAGGATTGGAATTGCTTCAAGAGGTTCTATCCCAACTCTAGCCTGGAAAGAAACACAATTTTCACATCTAGGTATCCATTTCAAGAATCCAAGCTAGCCATTGATTTTTTCTTTGACAGGATTGGAAATAAGAGGCATGACGGAGACAGCAAAAATGGTGTAAACCATGAAAGAGAGATAGTGTGTGGGTGGTGATGGATGGTAGATGGTAGGCGGTAGGCAAAAAGGTTTCTGGTTCGAGGGGTGGGGGCTAGAGTAGGAGTGGAGTGTTTGGGGAAGAAGATTCAATTTTTTTGTTATATTTAATTATTTTATATGCATTTAATTATTTAGATGCATTTATTGACAAAAAAAATAAACAATATCTCAAGCATCAGTTTTAAATGCCTCAACATGAACTGATGTTCTACGAAGACAATTTGTTAGCATTATATTTGATATATCTATGGCACACTTGAAATGTGATGGTGTTCGATTCTGAGACTAAAAATTTTCAAACGAAAATAAAGCAATTAGCAAAGAGGGTCTCATTAAAGAGGTACGTACTCTTGATGAATATTTAAACATAACAAATTGTAAGACCTCATAAAATGTTCAGGTATCTAAAATAATGAAATTTGAGATATATCAATAAGTTATATCATTATAGAAAAGGAAATAAAATCAAAAAGAAAAAATGTAGACAACAATTTTGCACATTATGTACTACATCACATAGCAAGGAATCAAAATAAAGTGCGTTGTAATACATCGATTGAAGTAATTATTGATCAAATAAAATGGATGCATGTGGTATAATCGCTTTAACGAATATTTGTTAAAAGAAGACTATAAAAATTATGATGACTGTCCATGTGTCTTCATAAAGAAACAAATATTGGATTTGTAATTGTGGCAGTTTATGTTGATAATTTATATTCAATTGAAACTCCTGAATAGCTCAATAAAACTGCTAATTATTTGAAATGAAAGATTTGAGAAAATTAAATTTTGTCTTACGTTGCAGATTGAACACTTCCCAGAAGGATTATTTATTCATCAATTTACATTTACAGAAAAGGTTTAAAACATTTTTACGTGGATAATGCACACCAATTGTCATCACTTATGTTCGATCACTTAATGTAAAAAAGGCTCGTGATCCTTACGTACCATATCTTAGTGCAATTGAAACATTAACTTGTCTTGCAAACTAAACTCGATCCGGCATAATTTTTTCTGTAAATCTCTTTGCAAGATATAGCTCTACACCAACTCAAAGACATTGAAATGATGTTAAACATATTTTTCGTTACCTAAATGGCATTGTTGATTTCGGATTATTATATTCTCAAAAGTCGAAAACCGCTTTAGCGAGATATGAAGATGCACATTATCTCTCTGGCTCACATAAAGCTAAATAAATAGCATATGTATTTACATGTGGAGGGATAGCTATATCATGAATATCTATGAAGCAATTCTTGACGACAACATCTTCAAATTATTATGAAATTATTGCAATCCATGAAGTCGAAAATATGTATGGTTGAGGAATATGACATATTATATCCAAGCATCATGCGGGTTAATTTCAACAAAAGATAGTCCAACAATTTTGTATAAAGATAATGCAACTTACATTGCACAACTTAAATGAGACAATATCAAATGTGACGTTACGAAATATATTTCTCTAAAATTCTTTCATACACATAAGCTTCAAAAGAATGGTGACATCGATGTCCTACAAATTCGCTCGAGTGATAATATGACCGATTTATTCACAAAAACATTGCTGATATCTACATTCAAGAAATTGGTTCATGAGATTGGAATACGTAAACTCAAAGATTTTCAGCGGTCAACATCAAGGGAAGTATCTATACTTTTTTTTCTTCGCTTAAGTTTTATCTAGGGATGTAAACGAGCCGGGCCGAGCCGGCTTGCGAGCCTAAAGTTTCGGCTCGGGCTCGGCCCGGTTGAAGTGACCGAGCTTTTTTGCAGGCTCGAGCCGAGCCGAGCAAAAGCTCGGCCAAAAAAAATAGGCTCGGCCTGAGCTTTTGCTCGGGCTTTTTACGGGCCGAGCCGGGCAGGCTCGTTTTCTCCACCTTTTTTTTTTTTTTTTTTTTTTATAAAATTTTGG